GAACCATATAAGACTATGAATATACCAAGAAGTAAACAAGTCTCACCTCCTCTTATAGAAGTCGACAATAATAAAGAGTTTGAAGTAGAAGAAGTTATAGACTCAAAGCAATGCTAAAATAAATTAAAATATCTTATCTATTGGTATAAATATGATATTAATAAATATACATAAGAGCTAATAAAGAATCTTACAAATGCACCAAAGATGGTGGAAGCTTTTTGTTGACGACATCCATTAAATCGAAGATGAAGAATAGTAAGTCTTTGCTATAAAAGAAATAAGATCTAGAGAAGATTGCATTCTATCTTCTATCCTTGTTTGTGGTTTCTGTGTAATTCTAATACTGTGGAAATGGAGAACTAACAACTAGTGGATTCGACTCAAGAACCTTTGTTTGCTAATTTATTGAATGAGATATTGTGATTTTCAAAACCTTGAAGATGATGCAATCGAGATAAAGATCCTCAAGAATGACATGTACTTTCTCGAATAAATAGCAAGATATAATGTGTTTGATATCACAACCTTGGAAAGGACTTCTATTGTTTGATGATTTTACTAGAAGTAGGAATGATTCTTAATAGTATTTCAAATATTTTATTTGAAGAAAGTTATGAAGGCATCAACAACGATCAAATAATTGGATAGTCTTTCCGCATTGGTATGGGACACTATTGATGGTTGAAAAGTCCTATCAACCATCTTTAAAAAAAACAAAGATCAGAGTATGTAGCAAATATAATTTGCTGCATCTCAAATTTCTTCAATATATGATGATCGCTCCTCGTGGAACTTGTTTCTAGAAAAGGAGATAATTTCACAGACATATACATATAAATCAATAATTACCTATATGATTAGATAAAAGTAAATTAAATTAAATTAATTCCATGATATTTTTATAAAAGCTTCTTAGAAGCTTTGTAGACGTTGCTTTGATTTTATAGGTATCTATGATTGATTTTTTAGGTTAGAAATGTAGTCAACAAGTTAGCCATGTGCCATACATGTTGATAGCTTGAAAAATAAGCTAACTATGTGGCCTATACATAAAAAACTTGCCTTGCAAGCTAAAGCATGTGTCATCCAAAGCCTACATATATTAGAAGTTTTATAAAAAATTGTCATGTAGCTGCTAATTAGATAGTATATATAGAGGCAAGAGTGAAGCCTTCTTCACTCTTGTCAATTTCTTTCTTATTTCTAGTGTAGATTTAAGAGTCTCTAATTTCCTTGTCTTTTGGCAATAGCCATTCTAATTTTTTTTAATATACATATTACTTTATTGCTATTTTTTTACTTTTCTTTTAATACATATTTCCTAGATTTATGCATCTTCTTCCAATTCATATCCTTGATATTTTCTAGCAGTATGATATTTTAAATACAATAAGATTTTGAAGCTAATATCTATAGATTTTTGTGGCCACAAATATAGAAGGTTATAAAAGACTTAATTCAATTATGTGACTTTTGTTAGAGGTCAAAAACTACTCATCATCAGCCTTATAAATTTCTTCAACTATTACCTATTCCAGAACAATCGTGGTCTTCTGTTTCTATGGATTTTATTATGAATCTTCCAATCTCAAGTTCGTGTAATTTTATATTTGTAATAGTAGATTATTTTACCAAAATAGCACATTTTATATTATACACAAAATCTATCACATGTGAAGAAATTACCAAGCTTTTCTTTGATAATATCTATCAATATTATGGATTCCTAAAAGATATTATATCAGATAGAGAGACTCAATTTGTATCAAGATTTTGGAGAAACCTTTTTAAGATTCTAAAGATGGATATAAAAAAAAATTTGGCCTTTTTCTTTCAAATTGATAAACAGACAAAGCGTATAAATTATGTTTTGGAACAATACTAAAAGTGTATTATTAATTATCAACAAGACAATTGAATAACCCTCTTACTATTGGAAAAATTTGCTTATAATAATACAATACATTTTTCTATGCAATAAATACCTTTCTTTGTCAATTATGCTTATCATCCACAACTTGATACTTTTGATTTTTTTAAAATTGATAATCTTGCGACAAAAGATTTTACAAATTATTTGTCAGAGCTACATGCAACAATAATAATGCAATTAAAAGAAGCTCAAGAACTACAAAAGATCAAGGCGGATGCCTATTGAAAGAAACAAACACAATTCAACATAAGTAACAAGGTATGGATACTTTGTCATAATATCAAGACTATTTGTCCTTGTGATAAGTTGAACTACCACATGCTTGCACCTTTTCTTATTTGTGGACAAATCAATCTAGTATCTTATTAATTACATCTATTGGAGTCAATAAAAATCCATCTTGTATTCCACATGTCTCTTCTTTAACCATAGAAGACTGTGAATATATCAAGAAGAAGACAAGTCCCACTTCTTCTTGTAGAAGTGGACAATAATAAAGAGTTTGAAGTAGAAGAAGTTTTATACTCAAGGCAGCATCAAAATAAGTTAGAATAACTTATCTATTGGTGCAGATATGACATTAGTGAACCCACATGGAAACCAACAAAGAATCTTATAAATGTAATAAAGACGGTGGAAGTTTTTCATCAATGACATGTATTAAAATAAAGATGAAGAATAGTACGTCTTTGTTATAATAAAAACAAGCTCCAGAGAACAGTATATTCTATTTTCTATCTTTATTTGTAGTTTCTATGTAATTATAGGCATTAAAGAGATATAGAACCAACAGTCCATAGATTCAACTTAAAAGCCATCATTTGTTGATTTATTGGACAAAAAATTGTAATTATTGCAACCTTCATGATGATATAATAGAAATTAAGACTTGCAAGAACGACATATTCTTCTTAGAATAGATGGCAAGATACAATGAGTTTAATATCACGACCTGAGAAAAGACTCTTAATGTTTGGTGATTTTATTGGAAGTAGACATGACTCCTAATGGTGTTATAAATTTTTTATTTGAAAGAAGTTATGAAGGTTTCAATAATAATTAAATCACAAGGTGGTCTTCTTACCCTGAAATGGGACATTACCAATAGCTAAGAGGACCTATCAACTACCTTCAACGAGAACAAAGATAAGAATATATAGCAAATACAATTTGAAGCATCTTAGACTTCCTCAACATACAATCACTGCTCCTCATGAAACTTGTCCCTAGAAGGGGGGGAGGGAGATAATGTTATAGATATATATCTACTATAATTATTACTTAGGTAATATAAATAGGTAGAATTAGATAAAAGTAGATTAATTTCATAATACCTTTTAGAAAAGCTTCATAAAAGATTCTTAGATGTTGATTTGACTTTACATATGTTTGTAGTTGATTGATAGGTTAGAAACTTGGTTAATAAGCTACACATGTGCCACATGTGTTGGTAGCTTATGGAATAAGTTAACTATATGGCATCCATATAAGAAACTTGCTTTGCAAGTGAAGATACATGTCATGCAAAGTCAATACGTTTTTGGAGGTCCTATAGAACATTTTGCCATATAGATCTTAGGTATATAATATATATATATATATATATATATATATATATATAGAGAGAGAGAGAGAGAGAGAGAGAGAGAGAGAGAGAGAAGCCTTCTTCACTCTTGTCAACTTTTTTTCTTGTTTTTAATCTAGTTTCAAGAGTCTCTAGTTTCTTTGTCTTTTGGCAATAGCTATTCTAATTTCTTTTTAATATACATGCATCTTTATTTTTATTTTTATCACTTTTTTTTTTATACGGATTTCTCAAGTTTATGCATCTTCTTTCAGTTCATGTCTTCAATACCTACCAATCACCTATCAATACATATAAAGATGAAAATGCACCTGTACAGCTTCTAAGAAGCTTCACTATAAGATATTATCAAATTGATTTATTTTTATCTACTTCTATTTATTCTTATTATCTAATTAATTATTATAGTAAACATGTAAATTTGTGACACTAATACTACATATGCTTTGATACCATGCAACAATAAACAAGTTATATTTACCATGCACAAGATGCTTTAATATAAAATTGTATTGGATGAATCTTTGACTATGAATGTAAAGCCTAAGTCACCCTTGACTTCTTTGTACTATGAATCTTTCAATTTATACTTTGCTTCTTGTACTACTGGTATTGCATTTCCCTACATGATTGCACATGCTCCTCATCCTTCTTCCACAAACAAAACCCATGGCTATGAGTCATCAAACACATGGAAAAAGTCTGTTGAAAAGACCTAACTGTAAAAATATCCTATGGAGAAGGTGAACTACAGTGTGACACTCTTTGTGCTGCTCACACTCTCAAAGCTCTTCTCTGTGTGTAGGTAGCAGCAGGATACGAATGTGGGTGTTGGGAGACTCTCCCTGTGCACTGATCACAGTGCTTATCAGCCGCTTTTTATCAGGAGCAAATGTTCAGTCTTGTGATCCAGCAAATATGAATTGTTGTAATGGTAGGATTGCAAACTTACTGGATGCTATTCTGTCCAAGGGTGCTGAGTGAGTCTGCAGCTTGGTAAAACAACAAAAATTTAAATGTGATATTGTTTTGATCTTGGTTTTGAGAATTGTTCATACTATGATCATCTGAAGGGTTCAAAAAGTCCAAAAATCACATATTTAAATAGAACTAGCACTTATAAAAATTTCACAAGTTACTATGGCCATACTGTCTTAATTCATCATTGTACAAATCAGGAGGGTGCTGTGGGTAAATCTAAGTTGCAACATGAGAACTCTTCGTCTGTTCTAATTGATTCCAGCACAGAAATCCACAATAAACTGTCCTAAAATATTTAATGGAAGAGGCATAATTTATCCATGTTCATGGTCATTTGGAGTGCAAACTAGTGGGATACGAAGATGGTGCAACAACTCTAGAGTCTTTGCATTCATCACTGCAGCGAGATGAGTCTACTTGAACTTTGAAAAGGATTTGTGCGAAGTACATGTGGAAGCATGTCAATGCGATGAATCTGAACTCTAAGATGCAAGAATATGAAAAAAATACATCTATGGTTTACTTCAGATAGTGATATTAATGGCGTTACGCGAGAATCTTTTGGTATACAAGCGGCCAATTAATGTGTATACTACCTCAGTGAGCATTCAGCAAGTGGAGAGCACGCAGGCTCACCACGATAAATCTACCAAGATTGCAGTCCTCTCGCTTCCGAAGGCAATTTTAAACGCTAATTTTACAGGATAATTGATTTCAGGTTAGCTGCAAATGTGATAAAAGTATGGGAAGCAATTTGACGATGACATCACCCTCATCAAATCCCAGTATGAAAAATGTTGAGCTTCGAGAATTCCTTGCAACATAGAGCTCGATTACCTTATTCGTAGCCACTCTTCGAAGGCTTTCCATCTTCCCCCACATCTGCAGCATTGTGCACCCTCTTGTAGGTGTAGAATTTAGCAACCACTAGGTAGAATATGATGTTGAGGATGCTCAGAATGGCCAACATCCAGAAGAAATAGTCCAGATGTCCCCGGTTGAGGTTGTTGGGGATCCACCCAGGCTTTCCACCCTTGGTCGTAACCTCCGTGACTATGGTGACGAGCACACTGCTCAAGTAATTCCCTAGCGCCACTGTGGTGAGCGACAGAGCGCTCATCAAGCTCCGCATGGCATCTGGAGCTTGGTCGTAGAAAAACTCCAGCTGACCCACGAAGGTGAAAACCTCGGCGGCCCCGATGAGGAAGTATTGAGGGATCTGGACGAAAATGGTGAGGCTTTCCACGGGCAATGCCTCGTCCTGTGGGTTTCCAGCCACTCCGTCACGCCTTGCGAGTTTTAGACGCTCTATCTCCACAATAGCAGCCACCACCATGGCGAGCACTGAGATGAAGAGGCCAATCCCCATACGCTGGAGCTGCGTGAACCCCCGGACATGGCCAGTGCGTTTGCGCACCACTGGCACCAAGAAGCGGTCATAGATTACTACACACACTATGACACTGATGGTGTCGAAGATAGAGAGAGAGGCTGAAGGGATATTTGCTTTCCCCATGCTTACATTCATGAGGGCACCTTGTTGAACGAACATAGTGGACATCTGGGAGTACACTGTGGCGAAGACAATGCCACTCGCCCAGATTGGCAGCAAGCGCATGACGATCTTAACCTCTTCAACTTGCGTCACGGATGTCAATCGCCAGCCGCTTGGCCTCGTCCCCTGCAGCTCCTCGTCTCCCCTGGGAATAGCCGCCTTGTCAAGGAAGCGGAATTCTTCTGTGTGTTCGAGCTTGCGGCTGCCTTCAATACCGGATTCCTTGTCGTCTGCCTCATAGAGATGCTTCCCGTTGGGCTGTACCTTCATGCTGAGCTTGCGTGTAGCAGCAACCAGCACTTGCGCTATCCGCGTGATGGGGCTGCCGCCTGGCTTCTGGTGCCGGTAGAGTGGGCTTCCAATTAAGAAGCTGACAATAGCAATTCCCATGGCTACAGCGGGGATGCCGAACCCCCATCCCCAGCCCACATTTTCTTGGATGTACACCAACGCAGAGGACGCAATCAGCGCACCAATGTTGATGGTGAAATAGAACCAGTTGAAGAAGGACGACTTCCTCTTCTTTTCCTTAACGTCGTTTTCGTCGAACTGATCAGCTCTGTCAAATCAATGGAATCCATATGAGAAGCTGCACTTTGTTCAAAAAGTATCTGGCAATTGAAGGAACTATCAGTTGTGTAGATAATTTTGCATCTCCTAATAAGTGCACTTGAGGTAGAAGAATTTCGTTACCCGAATGACGACACACATGGCTTAATTCCGCCCGTGCCGAGTGCAATGAGGTAAAGCGCAAGGTAAAATACAGCCAGTTGTGTTGAGCTTGCCACAACGCCCTCTCCTGATGGAGGTTTCAAGGAAGGAAGTGCTGCAGACAGTGTCAGTAGCACCATACCCTGCAAGAGATTCAACTCAGTTAGCACCATCAGAAACAAGCTTACGTCCGCAAGATTCCTTGAATCAGAATTCAATTGAGATAATCAACCCTGGAATACTGTTTACAATCTTGTGATCAAAGGGAGACCTTGTGCATACCAAGAAGTAGATGATTGAGAACACCACAATCGTCCAGAACCGTCCTAAGTATGCGTCTGCCAAAAATGCGCCGATGAGGGTAGTAATGTAGCAGGTTCCACTCCAGTTTGTAACATTGTTGGCCGCTGTGGAGGGATTTTGATGAAGCTCATGCGACAAATAGGTAACGAGGTTGGTTGCAATTCCGTAATAAGCCAGACGTTCACAACACTCGTTACCGAGGATGTAAGGACAAGCTTTCCACCCTCCAGTGTTGGCCTTTAGGACAGGATTCCCCCGCAGATCAACAGTGCCGTCCTGGGGGTACTCGCTGTCAGGTGCTCCCCCAACCGCATTCATGTCGTCTCTCGTCATCTTGTCCTTGAGTACCTGCGGCAATACCGCACACATGAGCAATTGTGTTAGCATAAAAAATTTAGTTAGGTGCCCCAAGTACGATCAAGATTTCCCATCATGTGCAAATCCTCGCAAATCTAACTGGGCGTGTTCTTATGCAATATTGGATGACCTACTTCAACTTTCAGCGATGTTTCTACATTTCGTGTTCACTTAGAACTGCTATCTTCTCCGCACCGTCGGTATGGAAAGATTCTACGCGCTGACTACGAGCATTGATGAAGTGAGATTGTAAGTGACCAAGGTAGCGAACTATTTTCGGAAAATTGTGCTCAAGGAGAAAGAAGCCGTGAGGTGCTCACATCCCGATGTTCTTGCTCGTTGTGCTCCATCGTTGGTAACGTCCCAGGAGTGTTTTCATCGAAGTGCAGCGTCGTCATGGCAGTCTCTTATCTAATCTCAACCTGACCCACAAGCACCAACCACAAATTTCATGCTTTCAATAATTCTATTTCCATAGGCCACATGTCGTTAAGCAACACGGAGAAACCTCCGAGGACTAAATGCAGATGAGAGAAAGCAGCGAAATTTAAGTAAGTCGCTAAGCCCTGATGAAGATTTCGCCAGGGCGAAAACCTTGACTGCTGGCAAGCGGCCTTCCTCTCAATAAACTGTCTACGAAATAATGTCCCTTCGGGCAGGTTAGGACTAAAGCTTCATTATTTGGAACTCTGAGAAACGTGGACAAGGCAGCGTATGCTGGGGCACCGATTCTTGCCGAATTATGAGATGAGATGGCTTCAAACTACAGCAAAACCTGTCAACCTATAGTTCCTAGCTACCTCGAAAAATTAACTCTTCCCATGTATCTCCAAAACCAGCGCTGCCAATGTCCTCGTTATCGTTACCGGAAAGCGTACCATTACGCAGCAAACCAATTTCTGCAAAACCCACAAGATCCTCCACACTTTACACTGTCCACTATGACAAGTTCGGAATTACCTTCTCAAATGTCGAAATTCTGTCACTGGCGAGTGAAATTCGCACTAGAGCACGGAATAAATGGAGGAGAACAACCCAAGCTTCAAGGAAGAGAGCGGAATCCGAAGGTACGTATCGTACCCTAGAGATGGAGGTGATCGATGCTCCTGCAGCGGATCAAAGAGACGTGCTCATGACAGACACAGAGAGACCAAACGGCATCCGGATGCCAGTCCAAGGCTTGACACAGACGAACTGGACTGCTCATGACAGACTGCAGTGACCCCTCCAAATTTATACCTCGCGCTTTTCCTAGGTGGGCATGCATAAAATCAAAAAATATATACATATACTATTAACCATAAACTAAAAATCTAAAAAAACTATAAAATAAAATGATAAAATAAAATAAAATAAAATAAAATAAAAAACTCTAGAAAACTGAAAATCAATATAGAAACATCTTATTCCGCACATGCGGAATGCCAGCACCAAGAGACTCAATCCGAACGATCACAGCAACCTCCAGAAACACGGCAACTCCCGTCCTCTACGAGGCAGCGGCAGATTCCGTGGTGTGAACCCACCAGGTGGGAAACAGCGGAAAGGTGGCCAGGGGTACTGAAAGGTGCCCGCCGAAGTTTTGTTTTGACCATATCTTGCCCGCTTCATTGATGCAAAAACAAGTTTGCGGTGCCACTCTGTGCTCCTTCTTCCCCCACCTCCTCCTCCACCTGCTCCTTCCTCCTCCGAACCCAAGTGTCCATTGTCCGCATCTTCCCAAGAAAAAGGTACGACCGTTGCGGGCGAGGCTGGGCATCGAATTGATCGCTTGTCAGAGGGGCATGATCGGCATGGAATTGATCGTTCACGTGCCACGATTTGGCAGCGATTGAGAGATGCGCTGCGGCGTTGCATCGACAAAGCCGACGATGACGAGGCCGGTATCCCTCGACGTGATGGGAGCACTCACCTTTTTACTTAAGCTTTTTACTTTTATTTTTTCTCCGATTACCGGTTGATTACTTTAAGCAACATACTCTTTGTCACTATTCATTGAACATTTCGGTGGCCTGCTGTCTTTTATTTTAGTGCTTTTTTGGCATTTTTCATCATTGAAAGAATTGTAAAGGTTTGAGGGAGTTGGGTACTTTCGCTTTGTTGGAGTGTTTGGAAAGAATAGCCTTCATCTTCGGATCTTATTTTCGAGTTCCTTTCTTTTATTTTTGTTTTTGTTTTTAGTGGTATTTCCAACAAACTTTTGTTTGCCTGAAACAGAAGCATATGGTGGACTGAAAATTAATGGTGATTAAATGCTAGACTAAATATGATTATTTAATATGATTTTTTGTCATCTGCTTTTACTGATTTATATGTCTTTTGTTTTGTTGCTGGTGTGTATAAATTGTCACGTGTTTGATGTTGTAAAAATGGCCTCAAATAATAGAGGTTCATTGAAGTGATTTCAAAAAGAAAACTAAAAAAATCTGAGGCATTAATATAAATATATATATATATATATATATAAACATAATTTAATTCATTAGTTTTTCCTTGTTCTGGGTTATCCTCAAAGAAAAATTCTCTCTCTCTCTCTCTCTCTCTCTCTCTCTATATATATATATATATATATATATATATATATTAAAAAAATCATTGATACAAATTTGTATACTACAACTTATGTTTCTCTTGGAGATTATTGTACAACTTACTCTAAACTTAAATTGCACACTATAATACATTTTATGAAACATTAAAAATGTATATTTTAAAATTAATTCTTTTATATGCATCAAACAGAAATGGTTATTGAACTATTGAAAGTGTTGTAATGAAACATGTCATCATAAAATTAAAGTGTAAAATTTTCTATAATTCTGACTATTCATATCATAATTTCTAACAAAACGAAACAAACAATACTTCTTTCTCATTGTTTACACTAAAAGTGATTTAATACAATAATTGAACCATTACATTTATGATATTTTATTATTAAGATTGTATTATTAACATTCTATTGATTATATTATACTTGTCATATTTATTCTATGATTTAATTTAAGTTTATCAACTAAAAGTTTAATTATATATTTATTTACATATGTACATACATACACACACAAGATTTAATATGTGACACACTTAATTAGAGAGAATAATTACAAAATATATTGTGTGTATATAAATATACTTCATACCATTCTTGACTTAATTCTAAATTGGCATTTCATAATAGTTGGATAACTTTCCAACAAGTATGGATGCCATTAGCTACCACACATGTAACCCACATGACAAACAAAAGCCTTGGAATTGACACTTGTAAGCAAACCACTTACTACTTTGAGTTTGATGTTCTTGCACTTTATACAACACGTTATAAATAAATAAATAAATAAATAGATAAACAAATCTTTTTTTGTATTCTTTTCCATTAGTAAAACAATTTACAAAATCATTGTCACTTGACGATACAAAAAATGTGATGATGTGAGGAATATCACCTATACTTGTAGATTCCACAAACTCATTATGTCCTTTGAAAAGAGAATTGCCCATAAAATTCCCTTACTTCTATTCATTTTACAATCGTGTGGCTAAGGACATGGGATGGGTGTACAAATTTTGCTCACTAGATGTGTGATCTCAACACATGGCCCATTCTGCACGGAACCGCTTTGTGTCCACAGTCAAGTTGGTTGGGAGATATAACCTTTGGGGCAACCTGGCTCAGTGACTTGGGGGTGTGCTTTTTATGGTGCTAAACAGACATCCCTCGTTATTGTCTTAGTTTTTAGAGGAATAATTAAAGCCCCACTTCACATCCATAGATTCTGAACAATGGACAATGGACTCCACAACTAACTTCCCACTGGAACTTGTGTTTTTTCTTGCCCCCATGCCCTAACTATTCCTTTGGGTTGGAAGAAAAGTTGCAACACCAAATGGGGCACTTCAAGAAATTTATTGTCATGCTGCCCGTTTTGAGTCAACACAAGGAATGGATATTATTCTAGCCTTTTAGAGAGAGCATGACAAAATCCGAATGGAATAGTCATGCAGCACTTTACTGAAACCCACCAGAATCTCCATTCCAGAGTTGTCACATTCCATTTGGAACAAGGGGCTCACAATTCCAAGGTTTATCATGGATTTCAGACACACTAGCCCATGAAAATGTGTATGCTTTATTCACACTTTGGGCTTTATTCTTATCACTTGACAGTAAACTTTTTATTATTTAATTAATTTTTGTTGTAGTTGTTGTAGGGGCTTCCAAGGGAAGCAACCGAAGCATAGGATTACAGAACTTCGAAAGTGAGGGAAAGCAGTGTGAAAGGGGGTTGTTGCCTTTGAGACAAGTGTTGCCATTCACGTTACGATGGAGCCGCTTTCACACTGTGCTGCTTAATGTGGGTTTCAAGTAATGGTGCCAATTGGCCGTCTGGGATTGGATTTCTGGTTAGAATCTTGGCCATGTTGGCATTTGCAAAATAGGGTTAAAATTATAAAATATTATAAGAATTCCTTATAATAATCATTTCCTCTCTCTTACACAAACTCCTACACTCATGTGTGTGTGTGTTTCTATGCATATAAATATATATATATATATATATCATTTAGGGGCACACGATATTATTATTATTATTAATGTAATTTATAATAGGATTCAATTTCTATTTATGTATTATATTGATGCTTTAATGAATGTTTTGAGAAGGAGAACTTAAAAGGAAAAAGTGTATTAAAGGATTAATTTGCAAACTTGAATTGAATTTTTCTTGTTCTCTTGAGAACCTCCTTATTTTTTCTAATATGATATTGATAATAAAGAAATAAAATCCTTCTAAATTTTAATTTTACAAATACGTATAAATATATTCCACTCCTTTTCTTTGAAGAATAAACATGTCTTATTCAATGTACAACATTATCATCATCTCTAAAAATATAACTGTAACAAATGAAGTTATTAATGTGAAATATAAGGTTGATTGATAAATAATAAATCCAGCAATTCATTTTAACTACTTCGGTTTCTGATAAATAGAACTATTTTAATTATCTTCGAATAATTATATATATATATATATATATATATATATATACACACAGGTAAATATATATATAGGTATAGATATAGGTATATATATATATATATATATATATATATATATGAAATTAATTAAATTAAAGATCTAGAATATCTATTTAAATTTTCTTTTATGCTAATTTTAATTGACTAAATAACATAAGATTCATCTTCCATGACTTCCAAGAAATTCTTTGCTTATTCTTAAATATTACTTTGATTCAACATTTACATCAATTATTATTTTAAACTTTCACATGTAAAAAACATATTATATAAATGTAAAGGAATACCACGTTTTTATAAAATTTGAATTTTCTTTAAAAAAATAAATATTTTGCACAAATTTTCTAAAATTTTAATTTTTAAATATTTACATTTTAACTAAATAACAATATAAAGTACAGTTTAAACTTTAGAAAAATTGACAGTTACATGTATATGTATATATATATATATATATAGAATGATATGTATTTAACAAAAATTAATGTATTTGATAATTTTTTAAAAATTCATCTTTTTAATCATTTATATTTATTTAAAAATTTTAAATATTTTATAAAAAAATCATTTCTTATTTTAAAAAATAGATTTTTAAACTGCATATACGTATATAATTTAAAATTTTAATAAAAAAGTATACTCTTCATTTAATTTCTTTTTCAGCTTTTGCAACCTTTTTAGGCATTTTATATTTTTTTGATATCAAGTTCTTAAAATAAATAAATAAATAAATACCATTATTTTCTACAAAATCCATGATGCAATCAAACAAGACATAAAAATTGGCAAGGAAAAAATCAAAATTATGAACAAATGCAAGTAAGAATCAAAGTAAGAGCTTCAAGATTAAAGAATATTCACTCACTTATTACAAAAAACAATACAAGGTGTCAACCAAGTATGAACAATATTTTGAATTAATTTAAAAAATTTATATAGAACTTAAATTCTAATATTAGTTTTTTTGTCTTTATCTAAGACTTAGAATCCAAATTAGCATATGTGAATAGCATTTTAAATTACCTACTATAAACTATCCTACAAATTGGAATAATAAAATTGATTTGATAAGATATGGACAACTATCAACTTTATATGTATTACTTTGATTGATGTCTAAAAACTAAGGATAGTTAAAGATTCTAAAATAAAAAACAAAACTTGAATAAATATATATATATATATATATATATAATAAAATAATAATAATAATAATAATAATAATAATAATAACTATTAAAATCACAATTTAAATTTTTACACAAACCAAGAATTGAAATAATATTACTTTTTCAAGACATATGGATAAGTGCTTAGGATGGATAAATTAAAGTTTATGAAGCTATAATATTTTTAAGATTTAATTAGACATATTAAGACCTTTAAAAAAAATACTTTTTCAAGTTTTAAATTTATCTTCAAAGGTCTTCTTTTCATCTTTTATATATTACTAAGTTTCAATAGATTTAAAAAAAAAAATCTATCCAATTAAATTTATATTAGATAGTAATTTCAAATAAAATTAGTCATATTAGGAATATATATATATATATAAATATAGTCTAATTATTATAATTCATTATATTTTATGTTAGAAAAATTAATTCTTAATGTAACTAAATTAAAAAATATAAATATTATATATATATATATATATATATATATATATATATATATATGTATCAAATTTTTGAATTGGTTGAACAAACTAGGTATTCTCTAATAGTTCTTTAAATTTGTCATATCATTTCAATAATCTATTTTGATCTTCAAATTAGTTGTGTGGTAGTAGTAAATCAAAATAATTCTTTATTGCTTTCTAATTTGGTCAATCTCTTAAGGCATCTACATCTTTTTCAACTAATTCAACTATTTAACAATAAATTTAGACAAGTTACGCTACTTCATATAAATAAGTTTGTAGAGAATCGTTGGTAAAATTGTAACAATGTTTGCACTATTACAATTGTCTAGTTAGACTATGATCTTTTTATTTTTTTGACTAAGTCTATCATTGGATGTTTGATATTGGTGACATTACCTTCTTATTATTAATCTAGAAGTAGAATCTATGATATTTTTTAAATAATAATATCTTTAATAAGCCAAATATATATATATATATATATATATATATTGTCCTATAAATCTTTCCAATGGTTGTGGTCATTCATTCAACAATAAAAATTCTTTCTTTACTAAAGGATCAAATTTTATTAATCACATTCATCATGATGTTGTATTATATTTTTATTTAATTTTTAATTTACTAAAATCAAATATTTTGATTTTTTAAATTATTTACTTTAAAGTATCAAGAAATTTCCTTGCAATTGTTTTTGACAACAACAATCTTTCTAGTAAATCAAGATTTTATGGCATTTTGTAACCACTACAAATCATCAAGTTTTGTCTTATAATAAATGTGAAATTTTATCACAATATTCTTTTATTTTTCCAATATAATTCTTAAAAGGGAAGTCAAAATTTTTAAAAAAATCTATTCTATGGTTGCAACTATTAAAGAAGTTGTTTAAATGACATTAATTATTCTTTGATAATAGCACTAATGTGCAATTGTACTTATGAAAGTTGTTAAATTTAACTCATTTTTAAGTACAAACCATAATCTTTAAACCAAATGTTAAGATGATGAAGAAGATACGATACATGTTAGAAACTAAAAAGAAAAAAAAAAAAAAAAAAAAAACAATCTTTTGCAATCATGTAATGGCACCTTGTAGTCTTCTACTCATATTACAAGTACTATTACTTTATTGCTTCAATAATTGAATAATTATATGAAATATATATATATATATATATATAATACTAAAGATAGAATAAATCAAGTCAAATTAAGCCTCATTCAAATAGTTACTATTAATAATAATGGTCAATATGTTCAAATTGATAAGTTTTATTTTTTTTCCAAACTATCCAAATTTTAATATCAACTTAGAAATTCTTCAACATATTAAGATAACCAAGGCAATTGCAAATGTCTATTATAACTATAGAAGAGAGATTTTTATCTCAATTTCTTTTGTGACATTGAAGATAAAAAATAAATAAAAAAATTTGATGTAATTAATAAATTAATGAAACTCAACTTTTTAATACAAGTCTTATCTTTAGATGACTAAACAGCTAGAATTGCTAGCTTACAGTTCATTCCAATTACAAAAAATTACATTGAAGGATGGAAAGACATTAATGGAATAATGTAAGGATTATATTTGTTAGTATTTTCATAAAGGTCTTTAATTAATATTAAAAATCTTAATATGTTGTTCCAAATTAAGTCTCTTATATTCTAAAATTGCTACTAAGTAAAATTGTTTGCAGAACTTTTGTATAAGAACTTTAATGTTTGTGTTAGAACTTTCCAAGACGAAGAAGCAAGAAAAACACAATTTAAACTAGTAAGTGACTATAATTAAGTAGTTCTTGGATCACTGAATATTAGACAACTATAAAAATATTAGGTTGTTTAGAAGTGAACTATGTCCAACTACTAAATAACCATTGACTTGATCTTGTTTTTGATCATTATGAAAAACATAAGTACATTGCATTTCACTTCAAGCATTTGGCTATTTTCATGTTAGGTATGTTTTGCGACTAATAGCAGGTGATCTACAATGACCTACCCATTATAATGCTTTAATCAATGGCATTAACATTTGAAACATTCTGCCTTTTTCTCTTGCCCGTATTTATTAAAGAAGATGAGTGGCACATTAGCCAAGTTCGTGAGCAAATCCAGATGGAAGTATTTTCTGGAAGTTTCAAAGATCTGTGAGGGATTCAGCTTCATTTTGCATGATGCTAAGCTTATAACAATGGCGATCCTGTTAATTGAATAACAGAAACACAGAAACACAAATGGCAAGAGTAGGAGATATTATTGTTGCAAATTCTTCGTTCTGTTCCAATCAATCTTCTCCAAATTTGCGTCTTGGAAGTCCCAGCATAAACTAGTAACGGTGACGACATTTGTCATTCGGCTCATGTCTTGAACATTTTGCTACCAAGGCGATTTTTTCAAGTAGTTCGGTAAGAAACAACGGGCTCAAAGCGCGACCTTGAATGACTAAATTTGTTTATGCCATAATATCAAATGTTTCAATTTGTTCACGTCATTACTATCCCAAGAATCATTCCAAAAAAGAGTAAAAGGGAATTACAACTGAAACGCATCTTCACTGCTCTCTTTACTCAAGAACATTGTTTTGTTCTCCCCACTCAAGAATCTCTTTGCAACAAATGGAAGAGACCATCACAGATAACACTGTTAGAGAAGTCATTTGGGAAACAGTCTCTTAACTTAATCGCCTTTTCGAATTCTTTTTAGATTCAACTTACAAGCTTAATCAGTCGAGAGTTGGTGTTCTGTTTGCTGCAGAAGATACTCGTAGTTAGGACAGACACAGTGGTTGTCGGCTCCAAATGGGCAACACCCGTCCACTCTACAATCCCACAAAACTTGCAAAACTACAGGCAGAAATCGACGCTATGGTCAGTGTACATAAAGGAGTTGCGGAGGGTGGCATCCCACAGCTCAGATACCTGTAAGGCATAAAAATATGAAACGTTCACAGATATTGGCATCGACATGTTGAAAAGAGACCAGGACTAGTGACAAAGATCAGAATTCATTTGTCCGTGAATCTGACCCCACGTTTCCTTCCGAATTCACAACGAAGGTACGTTTTTCACTCTCTATAACGTCAAACTCCTGTACCCAAAAAAGGCACTGCAGTACCAGTCACGAAACTGACACCAAAAGAAAACAATGAAACACTGATTGTCGTGGGTTACGACTCATCCACCAGTGGGATATTGATCCAAGTTTTCGTAACTTTAAGGAGTGAAATAATCAGTGAGAATGGTAGATACGGCGAAATTTCGCCGTATCTGAAAGCACTTTACCTCCTCGTCTTCTTACAAAATAGAGACATATACAATTGTTCTCTCAGAGCAGTTGGCAACTTGTTTAGAAACACTTACTTCTTAACATTGGTAACTGCGGACAAGCCATGGACGCCACCAGCAATGTCAATGGCCCCAATAACATTCTCCAGTCTTCAAATATCAACAGCATAAGGAAGTAAAGGTTATGCTACCTCACAAGATGGAACCTCTCAGAAATGAAGTCACACACTACTTATCACACATGTGATAGTACACGAGTACTAGCGGCCCTTGTAGTTGTCTTTCATGCGCCTCACTTCTGCCATGACTTCAAGAGGCGATTCCCGACCAGTTGCTAGCTGTTTTTCACAACACACATTACTGTTCAGCACTCAGACTCCACATGGAAGCAATTATTACAATTTCACTTCGATAATTGATATTGGTCAAAAGATTCCTCTCATAAGATGTTCTTTATCTTCTGCTTTTAAGGAGTGAAATAATCAGTGAGAATGGACATGCAAATTCAGACATTAGGTCAGAGAGCGAACCTGAAGAGATTTCTGATCCACTCGCATGAAAGGATTAAATTCAAGTTCATCCCCAATGGTAGATGGCACAGTAGCAAGTTTCTGTTTCCGCTGACGCAGCACCCATTCCATCTTCCTGAGTAATGCCTCGTTCTTAGGCTCGAGTGTCAAAGCAAATTCCAAATTCTTCTGAGTATACTGCAGTAGATAATCAACGACAATAATCAAATTCCTTGCTGGAGAAATAAAATAGAAGGTTTGGGGATGGATCTTACATCCTGAGCTGATAGCGCCAAAGAGTCTCCAAACGTAACACGCTGATGTAAATTGCATCATAATTGAACAAGTCTATCCAATCCCCACTCCAGTACAAGCGCAAGGCAATTCGACCGTTAATCAGACTAATTTGAAAGAGGGTTTCAAGTTCACACCTCGTGACCACAATAGACTTGAGTTTCAAGAGGAAGTGACGCGAGGGTTTTGCACAATGACTGGTACATTTGATCAGGGGTTCCCTCGAAAAACCTGCCACAACCGCCAATAAACTGGCCATAACAGCAGAAGAAAAGCCATCAGATTTCCTTCGCAGTGTTCTTCAACAGTTATAACCTTGAGTGTAGGAAGTTTGAATTGTTGGCTAATCCAATCTCAGGTCTAGAACATCTACTCAAACCAAATTAAAGCAAGCTCTGCAATACAAATAATGCTCAAAAACGCGTGACAACACGATGATCCACATGAAACCAACGACTGAACCTGGCTCAAGAAGATGGTGGAAATCGCACCAAAGTATCGCCAGTGAACACGGCGGATTTATCATTGGGCAGTGTGCTTGTGATGAAGTAGCTTATATGCCCTTTCGTATGGCTGCAACCAGCCCACATAGCCAACAAATGAAAACGCGCATTAGAAACAAGAGTCAAAAACATATCGGTAACTCAAGGGTTTTGTGCCCAAAACTGATGCAGATTGTAAGTGCAGAAAGATTCATATGACCCAACCTACCATGGAGTTTCGAGGCATTTGACACGAACAGTGGGACTGATAGAAAACTCGTCACCATGTTGCACAGGGTGTGAACAACCCTCTACTTTGTCCTTCACGCCACCATATATCGGCACATCCTTGAGAAGCTTCTTCATGCCGTTGTTGCCACCAGCGTGATCCCTTCACATGAAGTGAACCCCTCAAAGTCCATCAGCACCCCAATATCCAAATCTTGCGACGGGAGTCACTGAGTAATAATAACAATAATAATCATAATCATAAAGAGGTATATCGTCACCCTTATGATAGCATTCAATTCCCACACACTCGCCAACTTCATCAACAATTCGACTGTGACCTACAAGTCTTTTATTATAAATGAGAAGATTACAAAGAGAGGATTACCAGTGATGGTGAGTGGTGAGAACCATCTTAACCTTGGCGCCATTTATTTGAGCTGCCTGCAATACTTGGTCAGGCCATACTGGGTCAACAACCGCTGCATCACCGGTTTCTTCGTCAAACACTCTGCAACCATTGCAGAAACCAAACCCACCATGATCGTCAAACGTGGGAATAAGTTCGTGACGATGTTCTTGAGAAATTACGTGTCCTATTCTCAAGTAAAGATGCCAACTCATCGGACATTCTTGTGTGTCAGGCTGCAAATCAGTTAAAGAAGATACATTTCCGAACCAGTGTATCAGAACGTCGCCTCTATATGCCCTAATCGACTAGTACCTCAAAGAATTGTGTTAGGAATCGTAAAAAGAGCGAATTATTGCAAGCAACAATCTCGCAGCCTCGGCCTTCAGTACAAACATCAAAAGCATATGCCCAGAATGATTTTCTGTCGCTTCAAAAACGGCAACGTATCTCTTTTTTTCGCTTCGCGGCACTAGCTACCCTCACACCCCAACTCAAAGAATCCAACGAAGTTCTGTTCCTAACAACCCCACTCCCCAAGTGCTAACGCATGAGAACACATATCCGGAAATTTCTAAAAATCAAAAGAATCGGGTTCATTTAGGTATTCCCATCCAAAAAAAAAAAAAAAAAAAAAAAAAAAAAACTCAAATACAATACTTCAACACAGACAAGCAAAGAGGAGAAAATCAAAGTGAAAAAAGACATACAAGTAGGCATAGTTGTCCTCCAAGCACGGCACAGGCACCACCTTCATGATTGCAACACAAACTAATCTTATCCTCTTCCCTCTAAACCTCCTTCGTTTACTACTTTTCTCAAAAACTACAAACAGCACAGTCTTCACACACCCTCATGCACAAACAACTCAGATGCAGAATCTAATGCGGCAACTGTTAGCTGCAAGAACCATTTCTGATCGCTGGAATGATGAAATACGAACAAGCAACTGGATGGTTTCCATCTCCAAGACGACGCTAAGTCGAAACCCATGTAAAGTTGAACCTGCACATGGATGAACACTAGTCACTACTGGCAGGCATATTCGTGTACAAGTGGCGTTGCCGAAGGAGACCTCCGAGGGGCAAGATACAGTGCGACATGCTCAACAGACTCCTGCATCTTTAGTTGCGCCATCGTCAAGAACATGAATCCCTGAGACAAATTCCTCAATTGTCTTGATGAAGTTGCTGGTGGGCGAAGTGTTTACTACTGATAACTATGGCAGCAGTTGCAGGGAGACCGCAAGGCTATGGCTTGGAGAGCAGTCTTGATCAATTTCAGGTCTACGCCAAACCCCTGTGTAAATGCCAGATTTTCCAATGAACTTTGTTTATTGCTTGTTCATGAATATATATATAGATAGATAGATAGATATTTATTTAGCACTTTAGCAGCTGTGATTTGTGATTAGTGATTAGGGTTATCAAGGTTCTTGTTATTCTCTGTTTAGAGGCGCTATAACCCAACTATTAGATTCTTCAGAATTTTTTTTTTTATTACGCTCATTCTGCTGCTAGTGGAAAACTCGAATTGCAAAACTGCAGATTATCTTGCATTCATGTGCGACAAGCTACAGCATGTGATGTTGTCGCTGGAATAAAACGGATAAATAGACGGCGCTGCAATTACTGTAAGAAGGCGGATTAGTAAGGGCGTCGCAACTTCTAGCTTTCAGCACTCGCTGCAATATGTGCCTTAGTATGCGGATCTGTGTGCTCTTTCTCGAGTCGTCAATATTCTTCAGTCTTTAGTTTTGAACAAGTTTAGAGAATTTGTTAAACCTAATGTTAGTATGCGCCAATGGTACTGAGATTTGGAGGGTAAACTCAAAAGGAAACTACTCGGAATATGGGCCATATCTGTATTGGAGGTGAGACATTTAGCCTCTATCACAGTACTCAAAATGAGTACTAAGATAGAAAGAAGCTTTGCACAAACATACAGTATATGAAGAAGCTTAACATTCAGCTACAGATGCCAGTCCACATCAAATCTCATTAAAGGTGAGTCCTCCAAGAGATTGATTAGCAAACAGCTTTTCCTTGCTTCCTCTGTAAAAGGGGTTTCAAATCACAACCCTATACCATTTGAGTTCAACATTTGTTCTCTTTGACAGTAAGGTTGAGAGAAATAAATAAATAAAGAAGTAAGAATGTAGTGGTGCTTTAGGGAGGTACAAATATAAACTACCACCCTGATTATATCTCTGTATGGGATAATAGCAAGATGAGCTAATTCGTAAACAAAGAGGCTAAGCTGGTCCAAAAACCCAAACAGGAAAGCAGAAGTGTCAGTACCAGGGTCCAATGGATATTCCAGCACGTCAAGTCGGTCATTAAAGACTCCAACAAGCCAGAAGTTGGTGTGTCTACTACCTCCTCAAATGTTAGATAACATCTTGTCTGTACCCATCTGACCAACCATCAATGACAGAGATGCCAAGGCTGCAACTCCATTGGCTCAACATCATCATAAGGTTGATAATGACAATCTGATGCATTATGCCCATTCCATTAGCTTGTGCATATTTTTTAAAAGAATAATTGGTCTTGACCTAATTTTCTGTAACTTTTGTAAACTTCAACCTTTCTTACTGTCCTCTGAATGGTATGATCTCTTTCTCTGTTGATCTTTGAGGTGTAGGTAACAACAATCAAAGACGCAATAACCCTAAAATTGCTACAATACCAGTACTATCTGTTGAGGTGAGTATATCATCTTTTTAGTTCAAATATCCATCTTTTCTTGTGAGCATCAGTATTGGTTTCCAGCAGAAACTATCAAAATAAGAGTGAGTATGCAGGTTATTAGGTAGTGTAGTGCTCAATACGAACAACCTCTCCATACTCTCAACCTACTCATCAGGCTCTGGGGCATGAAAAAAAAATCCTTGTTATATGCAAAGAAGAATGATTCCTTGCTGTTCATGTGTTGCAAGACTTCCATCAACATATTGATTCTCCTGGGCCACTCATTGGTCACCCTTTTCATCAGCTTCTCAAAATTCTTTCAGTTTGTAGACCGTCTGAAAGAAGACAAAGTTGAGATGCTCAGAGTGATTTTGACAAAGTTAAGATAGCATTGTAGAAGCAATTTGGAAAGTTGTTCACACATGCTTCAAAACTTGATTGTCCTAGAACAGTCAAAGCTTTGTGAGTATCTCCGCAAAGGGCCAGAGTTCTTCCTTTCTCCAACATCTCTACTCCATCCCCTCATGTAGAAAAATTCAATTCTGGTGATAAATTTGCAAAATGCATGTGCTTTCCTTTTCCAGACAATTGATGCTAAAAAAAGTAAAATTTGAATGCACATTCCAAGTATTTTATGAGGTTGAAAAACTACGGGCTTTTTTAGAAAATAGAAATAACTTAACTTAGAGCAGGTTCGTCTAAAACAAGCTCCCTTTTTTATTGACATTGTAAGCCACCGAAAGATGAGGAACTATATTTTTAGGAATTAAGAGTTTACAAGTGGCCAATGAGGACCAATGCCAAAGTCTTGTAATGCCTTAATGTAGAATGAGGACACAGTTGGTGGGATTCCAAATGAGGATTCTGGTCTTTGAGGCTTGTCGTCTTCTTAGTCTGCTAGTCAGCTTTTCATTTGTGCTGAATCTGACAGAAATCCCTGGACCCATTCGATGTGGCGCTTCAGTATGTGTAAACAAATTGTGAACTCCAATGACTTGGCTGGTGTTCAATGCCAGCTCTGCATCTGTGAATGTTCCAGAGATTTCTACTTTTGGTAGTATTCTAACTGGCTCCATCAAACCTGTGAACTTCAGGCTTATGGAGGAAGAACTCCCGAACTCATTTATTCCTGTTCGCTTCTTCTACGTTACAGTTGATGACTGGGGTTTTCAAAGCATTCACCTTTGGTAAGAGGCAGATTATTTGTAATCCAAAGAAGAGAGGTGCAAGGAGTTAAAATTTAAGGCGGGTGAAGATTCTAGAGTGTGTTTGCGATAACCTTGTTTTTCTCCTAAAAAATGTGTTTTATTGCACATATTTTCTTTGACCTATGGTGACCCAAACAATGCATACATTAAATTTGCTCATCCACTCATGTAAGAATAAATAAACAACTTGAACAAATACATAGAATAGAGATAGACTCCAAAGATTGAATTTCAGTTAATACCCATGATATAAAATGGTAATGTCAGTATAATTTGTTGCCTTGCAAAATCACTTCAAATTGAAGTTGAATAATCCCTAAGAGATAAAAATATACATTCATCACATAGCAGAAAATAAGTGTGGCTCTGACAGGGTGTTGAAGGTGAACATCAAAATTCACACACATGTGGTGGATTAAGATTTCAAACTTTTCCATATTCGATAAACAAATTAGTCACCATAACATTTCGAAATTATTAAAAATAATAATAATATCGCATCAGGTTACTATTTCCTATGAACATATTAATATTACGGATGCTATAATTAGAAATAACACATGCAAATTAAGTGGCACCCAAACATCCAAAAATTAAAGTTTCTGTTTGTGTATCAACATCCACTCAGCATTCCTGATTCAACTTTTCACCTTGAATATTACTGAGTATCGAATGAAAGTGTACAGTTCAACGATTTACCCGAAGTTGACACCAGAGATAATTCTCTAGAAAGATCTTAATATAATACTATAAATGAAGGAAAAGGCGACTTTCAAAAGCTGAAAAGGCAAGTAAAGTCTCGGATATCTTGGTAAATTTACAGCAAAATACTATGTTAGGTCATGGCCAAAAGTAATTCATCCATCGAGTGCAGCCATCTCTTGTACGCCGAGTCAGCAGCAGCCATGCAAGCTCTGTCCTCATGGATAACATGACGTGGACAAGCTCCAAAGCTTAGGTGGCACCTTCATCCCTTCACAAGACCCACCTGGAAACACTTAACTTTGCAGTAAAATTAGAGGCACTGCCAGGTCAGCAGTGCAACTAACTACCCCATTTCCGCATCTGGAATTAAGTGTGTAGTGGGAACTGATCAAAGCCAGATAGAAAAGTTCATTGGAGTGTGTTCCAAAGCTAACAAAAAGGAAGCAAATACATCTCACAAATACAACACGGACAATTCAAGCAAATCCCAAAACAGAGTCCCCTTTTTCTTCCATCACACATGCCAAGATTGATGAAAATATTACAAGCCTTGAGCTTGATTCCTATTCCAAAAGAATTGTGAACAACTAGCTCACATACACATGGTAAGGTAGATGACCCATTTCCAACCACTTGCGCATTTTAGCATATCTGCAATATGGGTATGATAAATTAAAAAAACAATTCCCTGCATATGAAAAATAGAATTTAGGAGGATTCCAGGTTTTTTCACATCGTTTTGCCCCAAAAAAAAAAGTTCTAAAAATTGTTTTAGCTAAAGATTATGTTCAAAATTAACTTGTCACATAGGTTAACCTAATTCTGACCAATGCTTGGTTACACTATCAAGAATTACTGATTCCAGCCGATTTTTTCCGAGTTGGTATGAAATTACACAATGGTGCCATGGAGTTGTGGCAAAAAAAGTGCATATGAGTAATGTGCCACCACAAGGTGTTAGAATTGATTAGTGATTCATGTCAAGTTGATTGGAAAATAGACCACCCTCTGTGGCAAAAATGGGGGGTAGTCAAAAATGGGTCATGTACCTCATGTTTTCTCCAATTGATGTATTTATATCATTGGGGTTCAAATGAGGGAAACCTATGTGGAGGAATTGGGGTCCATAGAGCAAGAATTCTGGAGAAGAAAGGGGAAATCCACTTGAAGGCAGTATTTCTTCCACATGCAACAGGTGTTAGCTTGAGTTGGCACCCAATTTCTATCAATTGGCCAGATCCTTGCTGGCACCCACCAAATGGCAAGTGCATTTTTTGTCCACCTGTCAGAATGAAATGAATGGTCCATTGCATCAGATTCTCATAGGGTTCCCCTCAAGTTCCCATGGATGCTCACACAAACCTCCCTCTTTCTTTCAGTCCCCTTTGGGTGGCAAGGTTCTCATTGAGTCTCAATGCCTCACGTTTCAACCCACTAACACTGCCTCAATCAAATATCAATAAATAGAAAGTAAAAGAAGAAAACACAATCCTTCCATCCTGCCGTGCATCACCACTCAAGACCCAACATCTTCTGAAAAGACAGATATGTCTATTGGTAGCATTGCCCCTGTGATGGAACTTTTCTCAAGAGCCAAAATTGGCATTTCCATTTAACCTGTACGTTGTTGATATATCCATGTCAATGATGCTATCACTGGATGAGATGAAATGTAAGGCTATACACAATAACACATGGGTAATGCCAAAACATTTGACATGGAAAGGGTGACGTGGCTTCTCCAATGACACAGGACCTCTGTGGGTTCATGACAAATCTTAGGATTGGTAAGTGTTTTGGCAACATCTTCTCATATATGAGTAACTGACAAGTTACATATAAATATGTGGAGTTCCCTTGGTACTACATAAGCCATAAAGTTATCAGTTATTGTACTTTGAGATATGTTTCAGGGTGTGAGCTGTTTTTCACTTGATGTAGTTGGAATAATCTACCCACCTCTCTCATGTAATGTGTTTCATAATGAACATTGCTAAACACAAAGCATTGTTAAGAAATTGTGAGCTTGAACAAGTTGTGTAATGATCAGCAAAGGTAATTGTAGGTAGTGTTTGCTTTACATTATATTTTTTAATACTTTTTTCCCCACAAAATAAATCATGTTTATATTCAACAAGAAACTAGTCAAAAATAATTTCATAATTTAATCTCAAAATTTGAAGAAAAAAGCACAAACAGTAACTTGATGACATGGGAGGCTCTTTCCAAGTTACCTGTAAATTTAATAGTGCATTTGTTATTGTTCAATGAAATACAGACATCCATTGTGAAGAAACTTCTGTTCTTCTACACGCAAGGTATGTCATTTGTGGGGGATGACTTTGAATGTGTGGGTCTACAAACACAAGGAGCTTGTCTCTTTTTAACATCCCTCATCAATCCATACAAGTGTTTTGGTCAACCTCATGGTTTGACCTTTAGACTAGGCCCAAAAAAGATCCATGCCATCTGCCACATTACAATATACAATGGCTTTGTTCCTTGTTCCATTTTGCAGTTGTAAAACTCGGAAGAAAGGAAACACATAAATTAAAGCAGGAAAAAAGGGATTAATTGCTAAAATTAACAACATAGGTATTCTGGTCATCAATGGAGCTCTTGTATTTGATGGACTTGTATGAAGAAAAACTATTTAAAGTTATTTCTTAATCTGATGAAACAAATACTCAGTAAAGGACTTGACCTTAAAACAAGATATTGAGTAGCAATGTCAACCAATCTACTGTAAATATATATATATATATATATATATATATAAACATGCAAATTTCAAAGCATAAAATTAGAAGGGTTGTGGAGACAGGCACCAGGCTGTTGTTCCATGGGTGAGGAGGGGGGAATTCAGTGTCATGCATTAAAATTGCCTCCTTTCAGATGAGCTCCAACTAAGCATAGGTTACAGACAAGTGCCACGTGGTCTGCCATGCTGTCCACGTGCCTCGTTGGCAAGTTCCAATACATTATTTAATCATACTCAGATTAATGGCATTTGGGCGGTGATCTCATCCAGATCCCCGAGTCTTCAATTCCTGAGTGTTGAAGCCCCCTTTCTTTCACTTCTCCAATGTATTAACCGGGTATCAACCCACACAGGTTAATACCCGTGTTAAAAAGGAGAAAGAGGGAAAGAAGAGTGGGGAAGGAGAAGGGGGCTATTGTGGCCCTCTTTTGGTTTTTGTTTGTTTAGTTATTATGATATATGTGTTCACACTCACGTGATGCTTGTGCCAATCATACCACCGAACCCTAAATGAGGCACAACACACATTTGTGTCCCCCATCAATCTATCAACACCCATCAAGTCCACACCGTTCCATGTGCGCCGTCCATAATTGATAATCCTCAACCATGCAGGGGCATCACCCTTTATTAATGATTTTTTAATGATTTTTAATTTTGTTTTTACAGCACCAGTCTCCGGTTCTCTCCGTCCATCCGATATATACATTCATCCATTTGTACCTTTTCATTCATCCACGATTTCAGCAGTTTAGCTAAGCTTGCATCCACAAGATTCTGCTCCAGCTCTGGTGTAAGTCTCATACTTGTTCACACCAAAAGATTGGATGGAATATGGGTCGTACCACCCAAACTTATCTAATACAAAGGATGAGCTGGACAAAGGAAAAAAAAAACAGAAAAAATGACTGTGGGTGCATTTAAGAAATACCCGAATTGCAATTCACAATGTAGTGGATGAACGATGTTGACTTTGAGATCCGAACATTCATCCGTATATAGCTGAGGGGAGTTGTGAGGTATATAAAAATTACTATGTGTTTTTCTTTTGCCCTTCTGTGATGTTCATGATTGGAAGGTGAAAAGCTACAAGTGAATATATGTGTGTATTTATATAGATTTATATATATACATATATAATGGAGGTGTTTTTTGTGATTGGATCTTTTCTCAGCATGCACCTCATGTGTGTGTGTGTGGGTTTCCATATTTAGACAAGTATTCATTGAATCCTGCAACACATTTTGGAAACCAAATAAAAATGTTGTGACATGTACTTACCCACCTATTTTTACTTTTTGTGACAAGTGTTATCAATATATATATATATATATATATATATGTATGTTTCTCACGCTTGTACAGTGTAATTTTTAAAAATATATAAATTGATTGAGTTGCTGATTTGTAAATAATCAGTCATGAAACTCTGATGTTGTTATAGGGGAATATGTTATTGAGTGATATTTCACACCAAAGTATGTAACCAGGATTTAGCGTGTTGGAGAAATTGGCTCGTAGCACTATGCTAGAAATCGTTGTTTAGTTATTTACCTCTATTCATGTCAATTTCCAACATATCGGAGTGACGTTATTAATGAGTATGTCTACACAAAACACGTATTACTGCTAACATGAGAAATAATTATAAGAATAAGAATGATGGTAATAATACAAATGTTGAACCCATACTAACCCAGGTTTGGAGGTTTGTTTCTGTCCAGAAAAGAAGGATCGGTCCAAGCAATGCAATAATTCCAATAAAACATTCACCGGAAATATGCTCAGCCTATAATGCCACATGGAGTTTAGGAATGCGGTATGAGAGTGATGGCACGACAAATGCCGCAACAGGAGAAAACGTAGCCCACGAGAGAAAGAACGCACAGAACACAAAAATTCAATAACACAAAAACCAGAAAGGAAGAAAGTTAGACAGGCAGCATCAGGAAGGATTGATACAGAGCCAGAAAGACAGACTGACACACTGACAAATAGACGGATAAAAAAACACAACCCAGCAGGCAAATACAACGCCGAAGAAGACAAGCGCCGTAAGACGGTGGTGAGATTTACTGGGGCGGCTGGATGGGTAGGGTAGAATCCCGCTCCCACACATCCACACACACTCGCTCACACAAACACACACGTCTGCGCGAGGAGGAGGGGCACATGAAGATGCCATCCGCGCGAGAATTTTCAGCCCCGATGCTGGCAATCGTAGGATGCACCCGAGTTGCATAAATCAACCCCGCGCGGCGCAATCCGTAGTCGAAAGAATCTGTCCCAGCTCTCTCTCCCTCGCTTCCCTTCCTATTCTCTCGCTCTCTTCGCTGGAGGCGCTGCACATACGAGGCGAAACTCCCGTTGCTAGCTTTCCTGCCGGATCCCATTCGTAAGTGCACCTTGTCCCGTGCCAATGTGGGCTGGTGTTTGCGCTTGGCACATATATGTGTTGTCTTTGTTGTATGTGTGCTTGTTTCGCAGCTGGTGTTTCTGTTCTGGTTTCTGATCGTATCCTGAAAGATGGTTACTTTTTGAACGCCTCGAGATTGAAGCGCCGCGGAATTTAGGCAATGTCGTGTGTTTAATGTTGAGGTCATTTGCTGTTGAGGTGAATGTCGGAGGTTGTGGTCGTGGACTGGTTTGGGCTAGTGCATTTTGCACGCGGGCGGAGATTATGGGGAATTCGGGTAATGTGTGCTGCGTGTAGTAGGATTTTGTTTTTTGTTTCTTTTTCTAGTAGCGTGTCTCTTGCCCTGTTAGTGTTGGGTTTTAGTTGGGATCTGAGTCTTTCGCCAGTAGGAGGGTTCAGCCTCTTCTAGTCCTCCAGAACGGGCTAGTTGTGTTTGTCCTGCAGTGCGGCTTAGCTTTGAAATTTGGTTAAGATTTGTGAATGTAGTGATGCACTTGAGATGGCTGCGGGGACACGCCTTGCCGAGTCGGAGGATTGCTCTCCTACTGGCGAAAGACCCGGACCTTTCTTCTGATTGTTGAGCAAGATACACCATGGATCTCGTTCGCTTAGCAGGGTGGGGCTAAGTTTTCTCAAACTTGAATTTCCCCTGCTCAGAAGGGTGTACTTGTTAACAGATCGTTTTCCGTAAAGTCCAGTTTTGTTCACAGATTCTGTGTCCAGCGACCAGCTAGTGTGACTACACACGATGCATGTACTTAATCTAGATTTCGTTGAGTCAAAGGACGTTCTTCGTCGAAAGTAGCATACACGTGATCCATAATGACTAGTCTGCCGAATCGGATTCTAGCCTGTTCGAGTGCTTGCTGAGACATACTGTTGTGTATGTTTACGTCATTTCAACTTTCCAGCAAGCATGCACGACTGTAACGATGATATCAATAGCTTGTCAGCGGAAGCGTGTACCCATGACGGTGGCTGCCTTTCCGTTACAGTAAATAATAATATTTTACTGCGCAAACTAACTGTGACTATTCCTGAACAAATGTCACCTTAAACCTTTGCTGGGCCCGCTTGTTCAGCCTACTTCTGTCGGCTGCCTAGAATGTGTGAAAGTTAAAAGGATGGTTACATTTTTCAAGCGTGTTCTGATATGTACAACAATTCTGCAGGTTAAGGATATAATCGTGAAGAAGCAGTTGCTAGTCGGTGTTCTACTGTAGAATTCCACTGGTCTAACCAATTCGTACATGCTGTTCTTAGTCTGTACAATTCTTGTAAAAAGAACATTTTTATATTTACCGGAAGACAGGCCTCTCATATTGAATTGAGTCCACAAAAATCCTTCAACCTATAGAAAACACTCCATAGGAGGCCGGGCACTGGTAGCTGGTCGAGCTGAAGGCATAAGAGGTTGCGTCGGCGATCTGTTACTGCACCGAGGGACATCAAAGAAAACGTTCATGGCGATCCAGAAAGAGAAGCACACTCTGCCTCTTAAGTCGCTGAATCACGTCTCTCGTGTATGTCGTAACGTGCACGCCACCACGCATTTTTACGAGAAGGTTTTAGGCTTCATCCCCATCGTCCGGCCGGGAGCCCTGAAATTCGACGGTGCATGGTACAGCCTCTACACGTTGTAGAATTGTTGCTCAAATTTAATTTCTGTGATGTCTGAACTTGATATATCAATCCCTTAAGCGTTATTATTAAATTTTTCTTGTGCACAAGTCAGTCAATCCATCGCTCGGAATTGTTCGCATTGCTGACAAGTGACAACCTCTGAATGTGTGACAACAGGCTTCATAACTACGGGATTAGCGTTCATTTGCTTCAAGCCGAAAACCAGGAACTGGCCACACTTCCCCCGGTGGAGAAAGAAATAAACAGCCGAGATGATCACCTCTCTTTCCAGGTATGTAGATCAGTGGATGAGATTGTTACGAACTCAGAATGCTTCAAAACATTGTTGATTGTTGTGAATGAGAATTGCCTTCTTTTCTTACAAATAGCGGCATTCCCTGTTGTTGGACAGAGTGACTCTATACTTGGGGTAGAGCAAGCATTGCAAGATCACGGCATCAAATACACGCGCACGACCATTGATGAGAACGGCGTGCAGATTGAGCAGGTCTTCTTCCATGATCCTGATGGTTTCATGATCGAGATCTGCACCTGTGAGAAGTTCCCAGTGCAGCCTCTGATCCCTACCTCTGCGAGTATATGCAACCTCGCCCCTGCATTATCAGCTCGCTAGAGGTGGTGAACTTAATACACCCTGCTTTCCGCCACCCACCAAGAGATCATTAGATCATTAATCACCGCGTGACGTTATGTCATTGCCGAGATTTTCAATTTTAACCCGGCTGCTGTTCTTTCCTTAAAAATTAGAGCAGCTACACATGGGTATCGCCTTTGGATCATCAAGTCTCTAGTGGGGAATAAAACTTTATTCGGTCCGTCATATCTAGGGTTTAGATCAAGGTGTAGCATCAATTGTAAGGAACGGTTTGGTAATCACTACCTGTAAAATAAATATGTTGGTATCTAGTGTTGCAAGTAAAAAGCGTACGCGGAGTGTAGAAGCACCAGCATGTGTTAAGATTTTGAGTTTAGTTGGTACATTCCTTGCAATCTCGGTTGAAGTTTTGTCAGAAAGTCGGGATTGTTTAAGAGATGCGACTTGCCAACCTGCTAAGTGAAGACGCGGCTTTTTGGCTCTGCATACCTAGGTTCTTACACGTGTATTTTTCATATATGTTTGATGTGATTTGTTTATACTACGAAGACATAGGATATTTTATGTATATTACATACATGTATTGCATATTTTCCATACATATATATTTCTTTCAAGCAGACACTGACCTGCGAACTGTGCCAACCTTATCACATTGAATTCTGTCTATTCAAACCCCTGAAATGTACACAATTGTTGCATTCATTTCAATGAGAACAGTTAGCATATACATTATAGAGTGCAAGTTACTTGTTGTAATGTATGCATCAGCGCATATTTTTATCTGTCCACGCCGCGCAAGTTCTCTAGCCAAAAGCACAGATACAAGAAAGACAGTTGAACCGGACTGGGGACTCCCTAATTCAATTCCAGCTTCTAGGAACAGCACATAGAAAGCAACAGTGGCACGCTGAAGCCACAGTCGACAGTTGTGACAGGTTGGAAATTCTCTACAGCTCATTGTCAGTGCCTGGAGCAATATGTATATATATATATATATATATACACACATGTTGAAAGGCAAAATAATTATCACATCTTACCTCTGGTTTGAATATTACAATTTGTTGATGTGCCCTAATTGACATGCAACCTTGTAAAAGCACTAGGAACTTCATGTCCTTACCCATCACATAAGCGTTCTAACTGGCTGGAAAATATCTGGCGTAGCTAGCTGTTGGTGGCATATACGTATTTTTGCCGCAATGCTGCACAATATCAATCCAAATATGCACTTTCAATTGGTGGCAAAGGCTCACATAGAGAGTTGCAAAAGTGTCTCGCTCCTATGTTCGACTTAGAGCCTAGAAATAGACGACGGCGGAAAAATATGAGCGTTAGACAAGCATACAATTAACACGCACTATAGCTGCTACTGTGCAGTAGTAATGAAGCATGGCAACAAATGTCATTCTGACATAGAAATACCCACAAAGCGAGAACAAAAGTATTAAGGCATTGGGAGGGTAATGACAATCCTTTATAGGAATCTTTTGCAAGTCCATCTGCATAATTCACAATTAGAACTAATTTGGCTCATCGCTGCCATCGAAACAGATCTTCGGGACTTGACATGCTGGGATCCAAGGAAGGGAACAAGACCCACTGCGGAATGAAATAAATGGTTTTCTCCAGAGAGGAACCTCCTGTCTGGTCTAGATTCCTTCTCTACACTGTCATTTCGCACTATTGTTGAATCTATTGTTTAGCTGTAAGGGCTTTAAATCACGTTACATCGTTAAGCAACGGAGTGAATTACGATGCCTGAACCAAAGCCATTAAAGTGAATTGGAGTTAAAAGGCAACTATCCCCTACAAATCAATTGAAGCCGACATTGTCGAAACAACTCCAGAGCTCAATCACATGTCAGTTGACGACGTTTGTACCGCACCATGACTTCTCCTTTGATGCCCACCACCATAGCATTCCAGTCAACTTCAGGGAACTTGGGACCTGTCAGCTCTAACTCAAAATGTTGAAGCAGGTAACTCCACACAGTTTTAACCTGCATATCAGTCAGTGACAAGCTCATCAGAAGTCGAGAGCAGTCGAAGGAAATAAATCACAAATTAGCGAACGCAATCAACAAATTAGAGCTCATGAAATATAAAATCTAAGACATGTCACTTTTCTAAAATATACGATCCCAAGTCTACGGAACGCCACGAGGATGAATTTACTGACTCCAAGACAATTTGAAGAGGATGAAAGGTGCATCGTGTTGCACAGCATATGCTAGTACAGATGGACTCTACTCGGTAATGACGGAGATATTTCCATTGTTTTTAGGTACATTATTCAAATCCCTCCTCTCAACAAGAAAAGGAAAGCCTAACTACCGGTAAGAAAGGACACTCACCTGCATGTAAGCAAACGTTTCCCCAAGACATCCGTGACGACCCCCACCAAAAGCGATGTACGAAAATTGACCAGCTTTGACGTCTTCCTCGTTTCCAGGTGCAAACCTATCCGGGTTGAAAGTGTCTGGGTCCTTGTAAACGTAGGGCAAACGATTGGCAAACGCTGGAGATGTTCCTACAATATGCCCTTTAGGAATAGTGTAAGATTTCCCCTCCCTAGTTGTGACAGAGAAATCAGTGTGATTCTGTCGGAGAAGAAGAATTAGAGGAGGGTGTAGACGAAGAGCCTCTTTCATTGCTCGGTGGAGACAGCTCATTTCATTGAGCACATCATAGTCCAAGTGGTCACCATGGCGTCGCATAATCTCCTTCTGTTCTTCAATAACTGCAGGCATGAACTGTTTATACCTGAAAAAGAACAGCGCCCCGTAAGAATTTCTTGATACCCCCAGAAATCTTGTGAAAGAAGAATAAGAAACTGACTTAGGGGAACTTAATAACTTGGTCTAAAATTGATCTCATACTTAAAACCAAGTTAAGAGAATAATTTGCTGTGATCAACAATACGACTTGAATGAGAGGAACACTGATCGATTTCTTACTTCATCAAGTACGCCCCGGTCCAGGTGGAGGTGATGGAGCTGGTGTGCTGTCCAGCAAAGAGAGCCGCAATCAGCAAACCTGTACATTCCTCTTCAGTGGTGCCCCGTTTTAGTGATCGGTACGTCGAGTCCATAAAAGCCTGCAACATATCTGGTTCTTTCTTTCCAGAAGCTTTTCGTGCCTTAATGACCTTGGAGAAGATCTCAGCGAGTTCCTTACGAGCCCTGAAACAAAGTCACAAATTTCTTTACAATCTCACCTCTTCAAACCTTCACAAAATACATACATACATATATATATATATATATATATATACAAGTTGACAAGAAAAGATGGGCAGGTCATCAACCTATCGCGGCGCTTGTGAGCAGGGATTGGAAGGTATGGAAACAAGACACTGACGGGCAGCATCCCATTGTCGAGGTCATGGAACAACGAAGTGACTTTCTCAAGGTGGCTGTTGCGAATCTCCGGACCGAGTAGGCAACGGCTGGCAGTGTTGACGATCAGCTGCTCCAATTCTACTTTCAAGTCTACTTCTCCTTCTTCTCCCCACTTCGAGAAAAACAACTGAATAACCGAAAATTTCGGACACATGTTATTACTTGATTGGTTAAAAGTTACTCCAGCAAACCAAAAGATGATCTGAAAGCTTGTAAAATGATATACGAAAAAATAAAAACAGGAACATGATTATGAGGTAGAGACGAACATGAGCTTCTTCAACCATCATTTCCACGTAGCTCCTTAATCGCTTGACAGTGAGGGCTTCTGTGAAGAAACGAAACTGCTCCATGCGGATTGAGTAATCGACATCGAAGACCACGCCTGGTCCGAATGTGGGCACATTGAACTGATACACCTGTCATAAATGCATGATAACAGAAGAACCCAAAGGTTAATCTCAAAGCATCTCATGCAAGGTTTTGCAAAGGAGAAATAAAATGCTCCCAGAACATGCAGAATGACAAACAAACGTTTCTCAAGCTGCAAAGCAAAACCCCGACCTAGTAACCCCGCCTGGCCCACGATCTATGCCACAGATGTAGCCATGCGTGCCTGGCACACATAGTTTCCCTCGCGCCCTTTTAATTAATACTCAAAAGCGGCAACGGTAAAAGCGACAAAGGCACTGTGGTACGGATTGCAGAGACACAAACAGGCCATCCAAACTCCACTAAGAAGCAATACAAAAAGTAAAATAAAACAAAGTAAGACCCCACGACATTGCCCAACCTCCTCACTCATACCTCTCGCTGGCTCAAATCCGCTTCCTGAGCCTTAAAGAAATGTGCCGAAACCTCAGGCCCGATCAGAAACGTGACGTTTCTAGTGAGCATCTGAAGAGTGAAGACCTGGCCGAGGCGCCCATACTCCTCCTTGAGCAGAGGAACAGGCCCCTTGATGAACTTCAGCAAACCCCCAACAAACGGAACAGCAGAGTCCACCACAGGGGGCAGGTTGCGTCGCTTCCGATTCCACGCGAGAACGAAGTGACCCACAATGGCAGCCACGACGAGCGATCCGAGCAGCATCATCACCTTGGATCTGTCGAACACGGCCGACTCCCCGACAGGCGCCCCCTGCATCTCCGCATCCCCCATTGTATCCAACAAAGCTCGTCACCCACCAGCCAGGCAGCCAGCTCTTCCAAGAATCGGGACTGTCAAGGACGGGGACTTGAGGACTAAAGGCAACCAGACAGCGGCATAAATGCGGGGACCTCAAGGCCCGAGGATTGTGCAAGCTGGTGTTGGAGGGTATTGCGAATGTACTGTCAGCAAAGGAGGGAGGAGCAGAGTGGGCCGGCCGCTTCGCAGGGACTCTCTTGGTCAGGAATAGTCATGCAGTGGAAGAATGGAACACTCGCTGTGGCAACACACACTCACACGCTGAGACTGCTTTTGCCCCGATCTACATCCACCCCCTCAGCGTCCATCGTTGCTCATCAAAAGATTCTTTTGCTTCTCACCCAGTCGGGAGAATCGCGCCCCCATGCCAGATCTGGGCGGATTTCAATCCTCGCCTCGTAGGCATCGCACGCCCCGATGAATTCCGCCGCTCTGCCTCCAGTTTTGCGTAACTCTGCGTCGCCGCTTTCGATGAAACTCTCGCTCTCCATGTGAAGCTGGGATCTACGCTCTGTTCGTTGCCTTCAAACGGATGAAACATTCTGTTCGTCTATACAGACTACTGCTTCGGTTCGTCATCGCATTTCGTCTTTCTGACTTAAGGATTCAACCCCACTATTACAGCGGAGCTTTTTTTGTTCTTCCGTGGATCTTTTAACACTGAATTGAATTTTTAATTTTTTACATTTATTTTTTACGTATTTGGATAGAATCTTGTGAGACACCAAGTTAAGTCATTGGTTGTTTTAGAACTAAAGAAGACATTTAGAGTGTTAACAATGCAATTGTTAGGAAAAGATTAGTCTAAGGAAATTAGAAGAAAGCAAAATATTGTTAGTAGAGAAATTACAATTTAGTGTAGAAAATCTATTGGAAACCCTCAATATAGAAGATATCTTGGGAGCATCAATGGAGCATTATTTGTAGCATCTTAGGAGTATTTAAAAGAAATCTAAAACCTTCAAACTTCTAATATTACATGACCTAGATACATCTATATATGATCTAGATACATAATAGATATGGTATTAGATTCTATATGGAGTATGGAGACAAATGCATACAAAATATGATATGGAGTATAATATATAATTTAATTTAAATATGATTTGGAAGACGGTCAAAATATAATATCAAATATGGAGATGGGTATGTATCGAGTACCAAGTAGGTATCTAATGGCAGTTCTTGAGTAGGATTACGATCCAAATATGACAAGATTCCATTGCCATTGGAGCAACTAGTGTTAAGAATTTTTTATGAGGTTATTTATTTTTATTTTTTTTCTTCAATGATAGATAGAGCTTCAATATTCGGGTTGTCTAAGCATCAGCAATTGTATGTTTTTTCTTGGTTTTCTTGTATTTTATTGGAGGTCCATAATAGTGGAGTTGGTAGGTAATAAGGATAGGATCAATGCTGCAACATCTTAGATTAATTATAGTGGTCGCTTTGGCATTTTGCTACAACTTCTTCTTTTGTTGTTGATTAGAAATCATTACTATGAGGTGATTGTTAGTAGGATAAATGTCATGAAGAGAGAGTTTGCTTTAAAAAAACCTAGATTTTATGGCTACAACTAGATATAGTCAAATACTTGTTTTCATTCAAATAAATTCCACTACCTCATATTATTTCAAAATAGAACATATAATAAGTTTTTAAAAAATTATCTTTATATATTCTATATATACCAAATCTTGTTTTCTAAAACATTACTTATTACATTCTATAAGCATTCAAAGTTATTGCTTATGAAATTCATGGCAACTAATCTATCCTTGACTCAAGTAAATACCACAACTTTATAATATCTTAGAATAGAATATATGATATTTCTTTAAAAATCTACTTATCTTTAGTATATGCATATCAAAGCTTATCATCTAAAAAATTATGTACAAAACCTTATGAGCAACCAAAATTATTATATATAGTAGTTCTTGATAGTATATGGTAATTAACACCCTTCTTCACTCAACTTGGCGCCATAGCTCCATACTTCATTAGATTTGAGCATAAGATGGCTCTTTAGAAAGCTATTCAATTCATACATATATACACAAAATCTTACTTTCTAAAATTCTCTATAGTTTACTTTTTGAGCAAATAAAGCTACAAATCATGTTAAAATAAGGCAATTGTCTCTTTTTTATTCAAAAAATACTACGATTTCATACTAACTCTTCTTAAAGCAAATAAGAGCTTTCTAAAAAGCTTATAAAGAAAAAAACTATTTTTTAAATATAATATAAAAAACCTTAGAAGATTGGCTTATTATATCTAAGAAAAGAGAGTCCATGTAAAAGAAAAAGAAAAAGAAAAAGTCAATATAAGCCCATGTTATTCCACCCCAACCCATATAAAAGGAATCCAAAAGTCAATATAAGTCCATGTTACTCTACCTCAATCCATATCTCTTTACCTCGGCACCATATCATTCCATCTCAAGTTCATACCAACCTATCTTGACTTATCTTTGGAGATAAACTATCAATATATATATATATATATATATATATATATATATTTTAATAAAAATATCTAAAAATAAACTTATAAATTCAAAAGAAATTTGAAAGATAAATAATAAAAAAATAAAAAAGATTGACATCTAATAAAATTTAAGACAAGAGAAGTAAAAGCCTCATGTATATAGCATTAGATTCCAAGTCACAAACTTAGTTGGCTAATTAAATTCATGCTACTCAAATTGGTCCAATTTTGTTTCCTATCAAATTTATTGATTGACACGGGCATGCATGGCTTGTGACTACTAATATGAATAGCAAACAAAAAATATTATAGTCAACTAGCCTCCAATTCCTTGAGCTGTGATAAAATACAGTCCATCCAAAATTTGTAGTTATATCACAATCTTTATTTTCACTACTTTTTTTTAATCTCTTTTATTTTATTTTTTTATTTTTTATTTTTTTCTATAATTTTATTTTATTTTATATTTTAATTTTTTATTTCTTTATTATAAATCAAAATTTCATAAAATTTTATATTATTTTTTTATATTTTACCACTTTCTAGCACAACATCATTACTTATTCTAAATATCAATTACTTATAATTATGGAAAATAGAATTGTTGACTCCAATTGATTTGATACTTTTTAGTTGCAGTTTAAGTGCTGCTGTGCAAGATGGTACTTTGGAGTGACTAAAGTATTTTTTCATTGGTGAATTCTAGTTTTGCAGCAGGCTCTTTTGACACCATAGTTGTCATCATTGCTATTGTTGTCCTCAAAATGACTTCTCACTATTTAATCATGTGTAGAATTTTGTAATTGTATTCCTATGGATTTTTGCACAATTATAATTTTGATGCTTTAGTCAACCAAGAATGTGTTAGCTACTGCCAATTTCAAAAAAAAATTGTCTCTTAGAAGAAATACTTGTAAAGAGCAAGTTTCATACCTTGATAAATACTTAATTATTCCATAATTTAATTATTTTTAGAAATAACCTATATTTATAGTGGTGGAATATACATTAGAAATTAAGTGAGATGATTTTATAAGTACATAGTTAATGCTTGAAGACTATAGATTTTCAAAGTGGCTGCATGCGGTGTTGTAATATCAAGAAATATTATACAAAATTGTTGCAAGAAGTGATCACATTTACTCTCCTTCAATGCCCCTTAAGTATTTTTTTTTAGACGTCCCTTTGATTTGTGGGCTTCATAATTGAAGTACTTATTGAAAATCTTTCTATTGATTTTATTAAGTAGTAGTAGTCACTGGTATCAAAATCTTTGATAAGGACCTAGCAGTGTAAGGAATTGTAAGCAATAGTAGCTTTGTTATTATTAACTCTAATATCTTTAGATTGACCAGCTTGATATGGTTGTAGAGTTAGTTAGGAGCAACATAGTCTTATACTAGAAGATTCTTATAATTGAAGAGGTACAATAGTATATGCAGTGGAGATCAAGGCATTGACAATTTACATTATTAGGAATCTATAAACAAGTGGTTCTAAGAATATCATGAATTATCAATAAGACTTCTAACTAGGATCAAGCTAGGCAGCATTGTAATTACTTCTAGTTCTATCTTCCTTATTATTATTCTATTTCATAGTTTCTTATTATAATTCTTATTATAATCAAATTTGTCATCATTTTCTTTGCCATCTGCCATTAATTCAATCCACAATTTCAAATCATCTTTTGGATTTGCTAATAATTATAATTTTAAAATCAATTCAATCATTTGTAGTTGAGTGATTAATTAAATGAATAAATAAGTATCATATAAGGAGTATAGTAGGTAGTTGCAAGCTTCTTCATGCCATCAATAGGATAGTTTCAACCATCAATGAAAGTGCTTTGATCAAGTGGACATCAGAAAAGGGACTATGCCTTCATATCTCACAACCTTGTTACTTTTCTATGGTCTTTGCAGCCAAACCTCCCTTTCAAAGCTACTACATCCAAGAGTTGTGAATTTTTTTTAGTATATGTCCTTTGGACAAGAAGGTGCTTAAGTTTTGTCATAAAAAATATCTATAAAAAATCAACAAATATTTGAATATAATTGAATCATCAATTAAAAATTGACTTAATTGATGAATTAATTAAATATAATTGATGAATTAAGATTTAAATAATTTCATTTAAATAAAAAATGAATGAAAAATTATAGATGAGTATTGATTAAGAATGAATGAATTTTTATTTATAGATAAAAAATAATTCATGGATGAAAATTTATTTAAAAATGAAAATTTGTCTTAGATGAATTTTTAGCCTTGGATGAACTTAATTATTAGAAACTTAAATAAGATAAAAAACTAACATAAAATCAAATCAAATCAAATCAAATCAAATCATATAATAATTTTCTTTTAAGTTTGAGGTTCTTGAATTGTATTATGATACTTGTATTATTTTTGTGGGATATGTGAGTAGTTAATGGAATTAATTGAGAGAGCTTAAAGATCTTTTAGTAAGAATTAGAAAGATAGTTTTATGTAAACAAACCACAAATTAATTAATGGTTGTAAACTAAAATAAATCACCTATTAGAGAGGTTTATTTAGCTTATAATTAGAAAATTTTAGGATTTATTAGATATTAATTAATTATAATTATTAAATAATAGTATTAGTAGATAATTAAGTTATTGTGAACTACATCTCGAAGCTGTTAACGGAAAGCGAGGAAGGTACAAAAGAAATAGGTACCCCATTGGGTATTTTTTCAATTGGAGATACGTCTAATTCTAACAAGACTGGTTTTGAAGATCGGCATAAATCACTTGCCAATAAAGACCAATTCAGAGTATATCAAAAATTGTCATTTTTATGTCATATTCAACCAGTAAAATTATTTGGGAATAATAATAGTCAATCGAGAAGGCCTGGAAGTCCGAAAAAGACTTTTGTTGGAGACAATT